GTAGCTTAAGGGTGATTGTTCGTAGTTAAAGTGATTAACTACCTGCCTGGCATTTAGTTAAGGGGTTTTATTCCCTCCCTAACTTCAGGGAAAAATCCCTACCTGGGGAAACAACCTTTCTCGGAGAGGTGACCTTGGTTAGAACACATAGCGCCAAGAAGGTGAGCGAACATATTAAGAAAGTATGCCATATATGCCAGGTCCCTTGAAACATGCTGTGCAGATGTTTCTTCCCTGCAGTGACTGTGTCAAGCAGCAAGGATGGACCAGCTTCCGGCACTGCCTCAAAGATTTCTTTAGACTCAGGCCCCCTGCCCACAGAGCCAATGTGGCTCCCAGCTTCTCCCCTATTTCCTATCGTTGAAACAAACACTAAATTATATTTCCTCTGGAGAAAAATGTGGGGAAGAATTGTTCTATTCATTTTACTTAAATGGGCCAAAGAAACCAAGATAGAGCCAGAAAGAGACTGATAGGACTAAATAGTTTAGAAAAGAAATGAAAACCTATCAACAGATGTCAGTTGCCAGATGAGAGCTGCTGGGGAAAGAAAGGCACAGGGCCTCAGGCCAGCCTCAGGCAGGGCCAGCGTCATGGGCTCATGGCATAGTACAGGGCACTGGACTCAGAAAAACTCCATAGGTGGTTTGACGCTTTGCTGTTTCCAACTTCACATTCTTAATAATTTTATTTTGAACTTTTATTTTATTTTAAATATATTTTTACTAGAGGCCCAGTGCATGGATTCATGCACCGGTGGCATCCCTCGGCCTGGCCTGTGGCGATCGGGCTGAAACCGGCTCTCAGACATCCCCCAAGGGTCTCAGATTGCGAGAAGGTAGTTCTCAGGTGACGCACCCCGGTATTAGGCTCCCTCCTCTCTGGTTCTGGTGCATCACCCAAGAACTGCAGCTGCCGTCACCGCAGCTTGGCACCTCCAGCATTGAGCATCTGCCCCCCTGGTGGTCAGTGCATATCATAGCTACTGGTCGGAGCGTCTGCCCCCTGGTGGTTATTGCATGTCATAGCTACCAGTCAGATGGTTAAATGGTCGGACGGTCGCTTAGGCTTTTATATATAAAGGGTTTTTCAAAATGCTGACACGCTAAGCTCAAAAGGTTCGCCATCACTGATCTAGTTCTATCATAAATGCCCGCATGGTACTCTTAGTTACCATGATAGCAAGTAAAATAATTCAATATTCTTTTTTCCCTGAACCTCCAAATGTATCATTAGACCTTTTTATCTCTTCCACAGTTATAGCTCCTCCTATTCTCCATTTGATTTTATATGCCATATTCTAAGTACCGTATTTATCCGTGTATAAGATGCTATGTTTTTCTAAAATCATTAGACTGAAAATTGAGGGGCATCTTATACACGGAAGTCAGCCAAGGAGGGAGCCAGGCGGGTGCGTAGCTGCCCATACCTTGTCAAACAGGCTTCCTCCAATCAACAAGCCTTGTTACTGACATCAGATGATGCCCTAATTGGAGGTGGAGGTGGAGAGTGCGCAGATACAACAGGGACTGGAGCATTCTGAGCCCATAAAGATGTCAAAAAATAAAAAGATAAATACTGGTAAGTGAACTTTTTATTCTGCAAAATTGAAACTGAATGTAATCAGCTATGCAAAAGAGCATGGAAATAGAGTTGCAGAGACAATTTGGACCACCTCCCACTGAGTGTATGATCAGACAGTGGAGAAAACAGGAAGAACAACTCCTTAAAGATGCCAAAAAACAAGGCCTTAAAAGGAAAACCAGCAAACTGTTTAACATTGATTTCTTAATCTTGGGTTGGAAAAGTGGGGGGCATCTTATACATGGAAAAAATACAGTAATTTCTTAGGATCTTTTCCAGTTCATTAATTTCTATTCAATGTTTCAACAGTTACACTTTTCATTCCTAAAAGTTGTTTTTTTCAAATCCTTGTCCATCTTGGTAGCCTCTGCTTGCTCATGTTTCTTGCCCATGTTTTATTTAAGTGTTTCATTCAACAAATACTGATTGAGCACCTACTACATGCAAGACAGATCTAGGTGTTAGGAATTATATAGGAAACAACAAAACTACACCCCACCTGGCTGGTGAGGCTCAGTGGTTAAGCGCCAACCTATATGAACCAGGTCATGAGTTTGATTCCATTATGGCATATGCCTGGGTTGTGGGCTCAATCCCCAGTATGGATTGATGTTTCTCTCTCTCTCTTCCTTCCTCTCTGAAATCAGTAAAAATATTTGAAAAAAACACTACCTCATAAAGCCTATATCCCAGTGGAAAAACTGCAACAAATCAAATAAGTACCCTATATAATAAAAGCCTAATATTGTAAGTGCCCGGTCATCCATTCCATTAATCAAAGCATAATATGCTAATGATATGCTAAGGCTGCTCAACTATTCGCTATGACGTGCACTGACCACTGGGGGAAGACGCTCCAACTGGTAGGTGAGCTCGCTGCTGGGGTCTGGCTGATTGGGACTGAGCGAGATGGGCCAGACACACCCTGGAGCCCTCCCATAGTCCCTCCCTAGCTGGCCAACCTCCTGAGTCCCTCCCCAGCACTGATCATGCACTGGTGGGTTCCCTTGGCCTGGCCTGCACCCTCTTGCAATCTGGGACCCCTTGGGGATGTCAGAGAGCCGGTTTTGGCCCGATTCCCCAGGCCAGGCTGAGGGACCCCACTGGTGCACGAATTCATGCACCAGGCCTCTCCTACAGTATATTAGGTGACAATTGAAATGGAGAATAAAGCAAGGAATGAGCAGAGTACACATATTTAAATGAGGCTTTTATTTCTGATAATTCCAAAATCTGATCTTCGGTGCTCTGTATATTGTGTATTGTTTTAACTGTCAGAGCAGCCTATTTCATTATCTACTTGGTTTTAAAAGCTAGTGTCCTTATTTTTATGATTAGTTTTACTGGAATACAGCCAGGCCCATTCCTTTACATCAAGTATGTCAAATTCAAAGGCTAACACAAGCCAAATAAATGAGGCATGTGGCCTGTGGGCCGCGAGTTTGACATGCTTGCTTTACATATTGTGGCTGCATTCACATTATATATAGTAGCAGAGTTGAGTTGACGTGATAGAGACTGTATAGCTCACAAAACCTAAAATATATACTATCTGGCTACTTACAAAAAAGTTTGCAGGCCTCTGATCTACACAGAGATATACACAGGAACTAAAAAGAAAAACACTGAAATGGGCACTAACATATACTGTTGGAGCAAGTGAATTGGTACAACCTTAATAAAAATACATTTTCACCGAAATCGGTTTGGCTCAGTGGATAGAGCGTTGGCCTGCGGACTGAAAGGTCCCAGGTTCGATTCCGGTCAAGGCATGTACCTTGGTTGCGGGCACATCCCCAGTAGGAGATGTGCAGGAGGCAGCTGATCGATGTTTCTCTCTCATCGATGTTTCTAACTCTCTATCTCTCTCCCTTCCTCTCTGTAAAAAATCAATAAAATATATATTTTTTTAAAAAAATACACTTTCATTCAGTAACAAATTCTGACAAATAAGCATAAGGAAATAATCAGGGAAGTACACAAAAACTTGTGTGGTGGGCTGTTAGTCAAAACATCCTATATAATAAAAACCTAATATGCTAAGTGTCCGGTCATCCAGGCGGCCGTTCAACCAATCAAAGCATAATATGCTAATGATATGCTAAGGCCGCTCAACTGCTCGTTATGACATTCACTGACCACCAGGGGGCAGACGCTCTGACTGGTATGTTAGCTTGCTGCTGGGGTCTGGCCAATTGGGACTGAGCGAGACAGGCTGGACACACCCTGGAGCCCTCCTGCAATCCCTCCCCAGCCCTGATCGTGCACCGGTGGGATCCCTCGGTCTAGCCTGTGCCCTCTTGCAATCAGGGCCCCCTTGGGGGATGTCGGACAGCCAGTTTTGGCCCGATCCCGCAGGCCAGGCCAAGGGACCCCACTGGTGCATGAATTCGTGCACTGGGCCTCTAGTTATTTATAATAGCAAAAAGTTAGAAGCGCCTGGCTGGTGAGGCTCAGAGGTTGAGTGTCAACTTATGAACCAGGAGGTCACAGTTATGGTCAGGGCATATACCTGGGTTGCGGCTCGATGCCCAGTGGGGTTTGTGCAGGAGGCAGCCATCAATGATTCTCTCTCATCACTGATGTTTCCATCTCTCTCTCCCCCTTTCCCTTCTTCTCTGAAATCGATAAAAATGTATTTTTATAAAAGTTAGAAGCAATTAACATATCCCAAGATATTAAATAATGGTATATTCATGGAATGGTATGGATTTATAGAAATATGCTCATGAATTTAAAAACTTGATAAAATTCAGTCTTTTGTATTTTACCTTGGCTCCTCTCATTTTACCTCCTACCTTATTCTATAATCACCCAGGTTTTCTTCATTTGCTCTGCTTCAGGTTAAACCCTCCACTTGTCATCTTGGTGCTAACTCTTTGGGGATTTTTCTGGACTTTCATATCTCATTCTCACTCTTGCTGTTTCTTGCCCATAAACATAAGCAAAACACTATGTTTGAGACAAAATAACCAACTACTCTCAACCTTGTGATCTCTTTAATCTATTTCTCTTTTTTAAGTGGGACCAAAGTTTATTGAGAGAAGACAGTCTATTTATTTCTTTTAACCAATAACCTTCCAGAAAGGGGGATAAACATACTCCCCATTTCTTCCATTTTTCAACTCACTACACCTAAGCTTCTATGCCCTACCCTCCCTTGCTCTAATATTTCCACTATAACTAATGACCAAGTTGTAAATTGAATGGCAATATTTAACTGTAAGGATAGGTTATTAGAACATTACTGTTACAACTCTAAAATTTTAAACATAATTACTTACTATTACATTATATAGCCTACTCCAGTTAAGCGAACTACAAGAAATTGATCATTACAAAAAGATAAGGCATAATTTTATTACTTTCAACATTTCTTTTCATCACAATAAAAATAAACTAAAATAACACATGGCTTTATAAAAATAAATTTTTATTAAAAGCAGTAGAGTCTGAGCAGGAGACAGTACAAAGAGTGTAAACAATGTAAACATCACTACATTCAGCTCAGCCTGATTGAATGCTGAAAGACAACTCTAAATGCTCTATGTGCCCTTACTAGCAAGTTACATTAATTCTACTATACACAGAAAACACACTCTAATTTGATTAGGAACAATATTTCATCGAAGTCGGTCCCATCGCCAAATACTGGCATCATCACAAACAGCTATGAGAATGCTGCTATCCCTGCTAAAACTGGTTTGTCGAATAGCAGTAGCACATTTTTGATGAGTCAGTGTTGTACATCTAAGGAGAAAACATGACAACAGGTTAAAATACCATACATACATAATGTTGCCAATATCTAACTTAAAACAATAAAGTAGAAAATGATTAGCTGTCCCAACTCATACAGAAGGCATCTGAAAACAGAACATACTTTACTAAGAGCTCAATCTCAAATTTTAAAATACCTGGGTATATTTTAAATTCAATAGGCACCATATAACTTATATGAAAAAAATAAGTTATCAGGTACTTATGAAAAACAATCATTAGAATAAAAAAATATTTTAAAGTACTCTGAGACATGCAAATATTACAAATGATTTAAAGATGGCATTGTAAGTATAAGTTACTTCCTCTATATTTGGTGTAGCAAAAGACAAGATATGGAAGGTAAAAAAGAGTGAGGGCATGATAGTATACTTTCTCTAATAGCTACAGTTAATCTCTTGAGTTCTTGGTTTTTATTTCTATTACAGCTTGCATAAGATCTGCCTGATGGTACTTTTATTTGTGCACTGATCTGTTCTTTCAAATTATAAAGTATTTGGAAACAAGAAAAAAAAAAGAATATGAAGGCAGGAATTTCTAAATACTTACTTGGCTTTATGAGGATCTTCTACTTCTAAATCCCAAACATAAAGTTTGCCAACCTGATTGCCCAATGCAAGCATCTGTATAAATATATTAAAAAAAACCCACCAAATTATTAAAATAAGCTTTAAAGATTTCAAGCAATCCTAAGAGAGCTTTCTTATTTTGGGAAAACCTCAGCTCCATCCTCTGGTTATGCTCTTGATTACTTCTTTGCATCTTATATTTCTGATTTGTAAATGGGGATAACAGCAACTAATACTTCACAGAGATGTCTTGAGTAAGAAAGAAGGCATGTTGCAAATTTATGACGAGCTTTACAATTTACACTATAATACATGTACTCTTTATTGTGTCTTAAAGAACTGTAGCAGCCCTGGCTGGTTTGGCTCAGTGGATAGAGCGTCAGCCTGGGGACTGAAGGGTCCTGGGTTTAATTCTGGTTAAGGGCACATGCCTGGGGTTTCGGACTCAATCCCCAGTAGGGGGCATGCAGGAGGCAGCCAATTGATGATTCTCTCTCATCATTGATGTTTCTATCTCCTTCTCCCTTCCTCTCTGAAATAAATAAAAATATATTTTTAAAAAAACTGTAGCTAAAGCTATAGAAAGATCTTCCAAAAATGTTCATATAAATACTCAGATAATTCATTACCAACAAAAACCTAATACCAAATTTCTTCAAAAATTTAGATAACTACTATTTTGTCTCTAACTTCCATGTTTGTTTGTTAAGTTTTTCTGAGGTAAAGACACATAAAAACATTAATTTTAATCACCAAAACATTAAATTTTAGTAACAGATGTTGTAGAAAATAAACACCTAACTACCACTCCTGACACTTGTCAATTTCATTTATAAGCATTGCAGATGGTGTTCAGAGCCACAAGGATAGAATAAATAATATCAAAGGCCAAAACAATACAAAACATCAAGATAGAGTCTCAAAACTACAGATGCATAACAGAGAAAACTAAAATTACCATGGCTTTAAGTAAAATAATTTCAAAATGTAAAAATGTTGCTACCTTTTGCCAGAAATCCATAGAAAATCTCATGTACCAAATGTCACACTGGCTGTAATCAAATCGCCCAAGAATAGTCACATTAGACTCACTGGGCTTAATTTTGTCTATATCATCTTCCATTTTGCCAGGTTTCCAGCACACAATGGCATTTTCACAAGACTTTAAGAGAGATGAGAAAAAAAAATTACTTGTAGAACTGAATTATAAATACTGAAACAAAGCTTTTCTCTATTATCATTTTAGAACTGACAGCTCATAGAACCTGTTTATCCATCTAAGTAAGTGATATACATTCATTTATATTTGTAGAGTTAATGTCCACATTTGAGGATAAGAAGTCTGATTTATTAACAGATTTTGGCAATACAAAGGCATTACACTGTCTGCACTATTTATTTTAAAAGTCACAATTTGTTTTCCAAACCAAACCAAATCCAGCTCTTGATACATTAGCATCCAGAGACTTGAAGTATTTTATAGCAAAGGTAAAAATTACAGTGTAGTAGAATACACAGCTCTTCAATATGGCTCCTGCTTTTTACTTCACTAGTTTCATCTTTCCCTATCCAACTGGTTCCCTTTATCTGTTAACTATAAATCCTCATTCATTAGCTTTCATAGGAATGGCAGCTAATGAATTCACAAAAAGGGATTTAGAGACCAGATTATATGTACAAGGCATAAAAGCAGTGGTTTACTTTTAAGACATTGATATGAGGATGAGATTGAAATAGGCTAAGTTATACCTTTCTTATTGTCTAACTTCAAATCTTTGCATACATTCTACTTAAGCAACAAGTGGTAAACAATATAATGGAAAAATATTTGCAAATCAGTGGGCACTACTCAGATTACTATGTAGGTCTCTGGTTTGCCATTAAGGGACACCTGGCAATCTCTCTGGCCTCTACTGAATACAGGCTACTGAACACCTTACAATGTATTTCAACAGGTGTCAGGACTGAAAAATTACTGGTGTAGGTGAAGTTTCACAGGACACAGCCTACATAATCCCATGTGGCAACCCTGTGGGGGTGACCAGCGTTGAAACACTTAGGGTGGGGACAACATTCTTTTTTCCTTCTTTGCCTTTTTCAGATTATATAAAATCCCAGGACTATTTATTTACAAGTTCTTTACTGTAAAGTACCTTAGATATCACCTAGTCTGAATGACTCTTCCCTAAGTGCACAGTTGAGTTGATAGCCTGTAGTTTTCTCAATCATCCTGGCCCCAGCCCTAATTAATCAAAATCTTTGGGATAGGAGGCTGAAACAGAAGTGTAAAATAGCTGCTCAAGTGCTTCTTATTGCCTACATTGATAAAGGATCCTAGTAGAGTCCCCTCATGGAGAACTAAAGCATAGGGAGGTAAAAAGAATTTACCCACATTAATGGATGGGTGTACTCAAAATCACCTAGAGAGCTTTTTAAAATTACGCATTCCTAGGCCCTTGTGCCAGATTTACAATCTGTGGGGTAAGGTCTAGGAATCTATTTTTACAATGTTCTCCCAATGATTTTGATGCAGAGCCAGATTTGAGACCACCAGTATAATTTATTCAGTTCAGCTTCCCACTTAAAATGCAGAAATCCTTTCCCACCATCTGATGAAGTTCTAAGAGCAGAAATTTTACAGCCTTTTTACTTCAAAATGACAGACTCGATAGACTTTCCCGTATTTGTCCCACTACATACAACTTTAAAAAGTCTAAAAAATAGAGAGGAGGCAGAATGATTAGGTATCCTGGGACATGCAGGAAATGTAGCTCCCCAATTTTCCTTTCCCTCATTTATGTATCTCAGGCAAGATGCTGGAAAAGTCAGCAACTCAACAATTCTAACGGGTGAAGCTAGACAGACAAAAACAAAACAAAACAAACCCAACCTCCTAGTCCCCAAAGCCTGCTCTCTACAAGAGACCAGGAAATGGCAACCTAGCAAGAGAGAAAAATTTCAAACAAATTCTCTAACTACAGCCAAATACCAAAAACAAAACAAAACAAAAAAACACCCCAAAACAACTGTGGACCTGCACCTATAAGGTCCAGCAAAAACTCAGTGGGAAACCCTTCCCAGGTGGTAACTAAACATCTCAGTACATAATAACCCTGACTCACCCTGTCCTTCACCGTAATGAGGTGACTCTTCCTTCTCTTTGGCTGGGGTGGAATCAGAGGATACCATCTACAGTGTCAGTGGAGACCACCGGAGGAGCAGTAATGAGTCCCATCAGCTCCTTCTGCTAGGGTGGTGTCACCTGAGCTGCAGTGGAAAGCCTGAACTCCCATCCCAGCAATAATGAAACACCATCACCCAACCAATCAAGGGGAGAACGTGAACTTCCCTTGCTACCTGCCAATCATGAAGCAGTGCTCCCCTTCCCCAGTTGAAGAAAATTTATCAGAGGAAGCCTGATGTAGATCTAAATAAAAGACCCGGAGATTGTAACATAATACCCAAAATATCCAGATCTCAATCTCAGCGCTCTCCTTGGAGCGTGCCATGCCCTTTTGTAAGGCACCTACTTTTTTTAAGCTCTTGGAGTCCCCATGGGACTTGCAACAAGAGGAACAGTGGGCAGCAAAACCACTGAACCTGTCCCCAAGGCCCCTTTTCTCTAATTTCAGGGAGCCAATAGCAGCCCCACCTAGGCTCTCCTGTTACTGCTTCTACTCTAAATCCCCCCTTTTCCACTGCCCCAGCTTTAATAAATGTACTCTACAAATAAATAAATAAAACATAAAAGTCTCAACTTTAATGAGAAAACATATGCCAACCCAGAGATGACATAGATGTTAGAACTATCTGACAAGGGTTTTAAAGTAGCCATCATAAAAATGCTTCAATTCAAGGAGTTGAGTGAACCCCAAAAAGATAAACTCAAAGAAATTTGTGTTAAGATACATCATAGTCAAACTTTTGGAAACTCCACACAAAGAAAAAATATCCTGATTGCAATTAAGACAGAAAGAATAATTCTAATGATGGTAAATTTCTCATCAGAAACCATGAAAACCAGAAAGAGGAGTCACAACATTTTTCAAATATTTAAGAAAAGAATTGCAATACAAAATCCTATATACAATGACTATACCTTTAAGGAATGAAGAGGAAATAAGGACATTCTCAGACTATGAAAAATGAACATAATTTGTCACTAGCAGACCTACCCTAAAGAATGGCTACAGGAAGTTTTATGAACAGAAAGAAAATGATATTATGAAGGGTTCTTGAAACATCAAACATTAAGAAGGACAAAAAAATGCAAAATGAGTAAATACAATATTCACCATTCCCTCTTGAGTTTTTAAATTACATTTAATGGTTGAAGCAAAAACTGTAATACTATTTGATGTAGTTCTTCATTCTAAAGGGAATGTTTAAGACAATTGTAAGTAGAGGGAAAAGTGAAGTAAAGGAAAGTTTCTACACCTCACTTGAAGGGTAAAATGTTGATTTACAGTTAAGTAGACTGATATACAGGTGACCCTTGAACAACAGAGGTTTGAACTGTGCAGGTCTATTGAAAAAAAGCTATTTTCGATCTGCAGGTGAGACTCAGCATATGCAGAGGATCAACTGCAGTTACACACAGATTTTTGACTGCATGGAGGTCAGCATCTTCTAAACCACCATGTTGTCCTAAGGCAGCGGTTCTCAACTTGTGGGTTGCGACCCCTTTGGTGGTCGAACGACCCTTTCACAGGGGTCGCCTAAGACCATCCTGCATGTCAGATATTAACATTACGATTCATAACAGTAGCAACATTACAGTTATGAAGTAGCAACGAAAATAATTTTATGGTTGAGTCACAACATTAGGAACTGTATTTAAAGGGCCAGAAGGTTGAGAACCACTGTCCTAACGTCAGATATATCTATATATCATATATATAACACATAGGGCAAACCTCAAAAAGGCTAAACAAAGAAATATACTAAAAAATACTACAGGCAAGTAAGAGTGTAATTCTAAAACATGTTCACACAACCTACAGGAACTTAGGAGAAAAAAAAACAGAGAAATTAAAAGGCAGAATTAATGTAATAATTGATATATTAAGGCTCAAATATAAATGGTCTGAATATACCAACTAAAAGTTTGACAGTGTGGATTTAAAAAACATGACGCAAGTACACTGAGTGTCCAGATTATTATGACCACCTGACGTTTGTTGGCAAATTAGCTATAATTTCGCACTGAAGTTGCTAGAGGGCCAGACCATTATAAATAAGGAAGCAGGTTGTTTACCACGACGGAAGTGATTTTTTTTCTGAAGATGTGGGTAAACAACATGATTTAACAGCCTTTGAACGTGGGATATATATTATGATGAGTGGCCAGATTATTATGACCACCCCATCAGTACTTTGTTGGGCCACCTTTTGCCTTCAATACTGCGGCAATTCTTCTTAGCATTGACTCCACGAGATGCTGAAAGGTGATGCGAGGAATCTGACACCATGCCTGATGAATAGCACTGTCCAGTTTTGTGAGATTTGATGGTTGTGGAACCAGCTGCCTGATGGCTCTTTTAACTTTGTCCCACAAATGCTCAATTGGATTGAGATCTGGTGATTGTGGGGGCCACCTATGCAAGGTAAAGTCTCCCTCATGTTCTTGAAACCACTACTGCACAATATGAGCACCGTGGCATGGCGCATTGTCTTGATGGAAGAAGCCATCTCCATTGGGATACGCCATCAACATGATAGGATGAACTTAATCAGCAACGATACTTAGGTATGTTGTGCTATTCAGACATTGTTCCACATGAATTAAAGGACCCAAATCATGCCAGGAAAACATGGCCCAAACCATAACACTGCCCCCACCAGCTTGAAGGGTTGTACTCATGCATGTGGGGTGCATGCTTTCATTCTGTTTCCGCCAAATTCTCACTCTGCCACCTCCATGATGCAACTGGAAACGTGATTCATTGGACCACATGACTTTTTTCCAATGCTCGACTGTCCAAGCCTTGTGTTCCTGTGCGAATTGGAGATGTTTTATCTTGGTAACTGCAGACAGCAAAGGTGTTCAAACAGGCCTTCGGCTTCCATATCCCGTATGATGCAGTGTACGGCTAATTTGCCTACAAACGTCAGGTGGTCATAATAATCTGGCCACTCATGTTCAAAGGCTGTTAAATCGAATTGTTTACCCATATCTTCAGAAAAAAATCACTTCTACTGTCGTGGTAAACAATCTGCTTCCTTATTTATAATGGTCTGGCCCTCTAGCAACTTCAGCACGAAATTATAGCTAATTTGCCAACAAACGTCAGGTGGTCATAATAATCTGGACACTCAGTGTATATGCCACCTACAAGAAACTCACTTCAGATATAATGATATATGTACATTAAAAGAAAAAAGTTGGGAAAGGATATACCATGCAAACATTGATCAAAAGAAAGCAAAATGGACTAAATTACTCCCAGATAACGGAGACTTCAAAGCAAATTACTAGAGGTGGACGTTACATAATGATAAAAGGTCAAGCCACTAAGGCATAACAAAGTGTGTAAGCACCAACCAACAGAGCTGCAAGATACAGAACTAAAAAGGAAAAAGCCACAATAATAGCTGGAGACTTCGAAACTCATTTCTCAATAATAACATGAGTACAAAAATCAACAAAGATATAAATTCAACCACATCATCAACCAATAGGATCTAAACGATATTTACAGAACACTCCACCCAATAGCAGACTATACATTCTTTTCAAGCTCTAATGGAACAAACCAAAAATAGGGTCATGAAACATATCTGAAAAAAATAATCAAAATAATAAACAGTGTGTTCTGACAGTGAAATCAAACTGGAAATGAAGAACAGAAAGGTAACAAAAATGTCTCCCAACACCTAGTAACTACACAATGCACTTCTTACCAGAATTTGTGAGATGCAGCTAAAGCAGTACTGGTGGAAATTCATAGCACCAAATGCTTACATTAAAAGAGTCTCAAGTCAATAATCGAATCTCCCACCTTAAAAAACTAGTAAAAGTGCAAAATATACCCACAGCAAACAAATTTTTTTTTTAAACTGACAAACCCCTAGCAGGACTCATAAAAAGAAAAATTACCAATTTCAGGAATGAAACAGGCTATCACTAGAGACCTTAAAGATATCAAAAGGATAATAAAGGACTACTACAAACAACTCCATACATGTAAATTTTACATTAAATGGAATGGACCAATTCCTCATACAAGAAAAATTACCAGTAAAAATTCATTAATATGAAATAGCTAATTTGAATGGCCCTTTAACTATTAAGGAAATTGAATCTGTGTTTTAAAAACTCCCCCTCAAAATTTTCTAGACTCAGATGATTTAACTGGAGAAGTCTATCAACCATTTAAAGAATTAACACCAATTCCATATAATCTCTTCAAGAAAATAGGAGGGTAGACTTGAAATTCATTTTATGAAGCCAGTATTCTCGATACCAAAACCAGACAAAAACAGCATAAAAAAGAAAACTTCAGATCAGCATCATACCTCATGACTACAGGCACAAAAGTCTTTAACAAATATTAGCAAAGAGAATTCAGTGCAATCTACTGCATTAACAAACTGAAGAAACCACATGATCATATCAATGGATACAGAAAAAGCACTTAACGAAAGTCATCACCCACTCATGGTAAAACTAAAAATATTAGGAAAAGGGGACAGTTCTCAACTTGATAGAGAATATCTACAAAACTATACAGCTAATATGCGTAATTGTAAAAGATTAAAATTTTTTCTCCTTTATATCAGAAATAAGTCAAGATGTCTGCTCTTAACACTGCTAATCAACATAGTACTGGAAGTCTGCCAGTGCAATAAGGCAAGAAAAGGAAATAAAAAGCATCCAGATCAGAAAGGAAGATATAAAACTTCTTATTTTCAAATGACAAGATGGTCCATGCAGAAAATCCCAAGATATTAATAATTCCCTACCAAAATGTCAGATAGGTTTAACACCATTCTGAGCAAAATCCCGCCCTCCCTACCCCCCGCAAATAACCTCTGCAAGATTTTTTATAGGTGTAGACAAGATTATTCTAAAATTTATAGGAAAGGCAAAGCAACAGAATAACTAAAATAATTGTGAAAATGAATAATAAAATGGAAGAAATCACTCTACCTACCCATTCCAAGATTTATTATAGAGCTAGAGTAATCAAAACTGTGTATGTAGTACTGGTGGAGTACTGGAACAAAAAAGAAAAACCAGAAAGAGTCTCACACAAGTATGTCCAAACAATTTGACAAAGGTACAAAAGCAATTAAAAGGAGAAAGAATAGTCTCTCAATAAGTGGTGCTAAAACAACTGGAAACCTATAGGCAAAAAATAAACTTCTACCTAAACCTCATAAAAAAATTAACTTTAAAGGATCATATATTTAATATAAAGCTTTTTGAAGAAAACACAGGAGAAAATCTTTAGGATCTATGACTTAGTAAAGAGCATTTTAAACACATCAAAAGTATGATCCACAAAATAATTTTTAAAAAATCAACAAATTGAATTTCATAAAAATTAGAGACATCTGTTCTGCAAAAGACCTTGTTAAGAGGATGAAAAGACAAGCTACAGACTGGAAGAAAATATTTGCAAACTACACATCTGACACAAGGATTCATATTTAGAATATATTGAGAGTTCTCAAAACTCAACAGTAAAAATAAAAACAAAAACCAATCCAATTAGAAAATGAGCAAAGACGTGAAGAGACATCATCAAAAAGGATATATTAGATGGTAAATAAGCACATGAAAGATGTTCAACATCACTAGCCATCAGGGAAATGCAAATTAAGACCACGATGAGATATCACTACACTCCTATCAGAACAGCTAAAATAAAAAATAGTGACAATACCAAATGCCGGCGAAGCTTCCGAGACACTCGATCTTTCATACATTTCTGGTGGGAATGTAAAATGGCACGGCCACTCTGGAAAATAGTTTGGCAGTTTCTTAAAAAACTAAACAAACTTAACCATGACCCAGCAATTGCCCTTCTAGGCATTTATCCCAGAGAAATGAAAACTTAAGTAAGTCCACACAAAACCTGTACACGATTGTTCATTAGCAGCTTTATGTTTAATAGCCCCAATCTGGAAAGGACCAAAATGTCCTACAATACATGAATGGCTAGATAAACTGTGGTACATCCCATACCATAGAATACTACTCAGCAATAAAAAGGGAGAAGTACTGACACACAACAACTTGGATGGCATTATAATGAATGGAAAAAAAAATCGTAAAAAGCGCCATACTGTAACATTCTTACAATGACAAAATCACATGTGATAAAATGACACACACACATTGTACAATGTCAAGACTTTATATTGTATTATAGTTATGTAACCATTGGGGGAAATTGGGTGAAGGGGCCTCTCTCTACTATCTTTCAAACTTCCTGTGAATCTAACTTCAAGATCAAAAGTTTAAATAAGCAAAAAATAATAATAATAATAATAAAATAAAATAAAACTAGCTGCAAGTCAAGAAAAAAATAGATTAGGCTCTGCCAAGAAAATGTGAAATGACCTGAAATCCACACAAGAAACTAGCAATTTCTCCAAATTTAACAATCCCAAATGTTCAGATGACATCACCAACAACTTCTCTAAATTATCAGCGAAGGATACATATATACATCAACATGCTAGAGAAGGGGTTGGCAAACTACAGCCCATGAGCCAGCTCCAACTGTCTGTTTTTTTAAATGAAAAGTGTATTGAAATGGACACAAAACATAAAAAAAACAACCCTACTACTAGCTTTAGATATTGGTTATTTTATAATAACACTGATTATCACAACAATATTATCTTACAAATGAAAATTTTTCATTTTATTGGAGCACAAATTATAATAATTCATTGGAATGTCTTATGCCTAAAACAAGTTTCCAAACCTATCAAAATATCATGAGACTAAAAAAAAAAAAAAAAAAAAAAATTAAAAAAAGAAAGAAAAGAAAAAGCAATTCCCAATTTGCCATCCAATTTACCAAACTGCATTAAAAATCGAGCTCCCTAAAAAAAAAAAAAAATCCAACTCACACAAACAATGGAAGTACAGCTGAACAGCAGTTACCATACCTTGGAAAGTATCAAATCACCTAACCATCGTACACAATCAACATAATTCCTATGTATGTCTCTGGTAGAAAAGTCAGGAAAGTGAATTTTCTGAGAAATAAATGGCCTGAAATGGAAATGTAAAAGTTAAGAGAAAAAAGTATAGTCGAATCACACTAACTTTTATTTTTGGATTTATAAACTTTGAAAAATAAAATGCATGACGATTTTTCTTTGATCCTAGAAAACTGAATACCTTATCTTTCTATTGAGAGCTACAGTCTTACTCCATTTTTGTTTCTATATTTTTTTCCATTATCAGCTCAATTCAATTTTGTTTTTATCCTATGAAATTTCATTTATAAAAATTGTAGCTTCATACCATACCATATATATATATAGGCCAAATTTAATCAATTCTGGCTATCCTAACCAATGATAAGCAAAGATATCTGATTATAGACCTAGAAGTATTTTTACAGAAAATACCTACTCAATCCTTTAAAATTAGACTATGAGCCCGAGCTGGTTTGACTCACTGGACAGAGTGTTGGCCTGTGGACCAAAGGGTCCTGGGTTTGATTCCGGTCAAGGGCATGTACCTTGGTTTCAGTCTCCTTGGGCACTGGCCCTGGTCGGGGCTTGTGCAGGAGGCAACCAATCTATGTGTTTCACTCACATCGATGTTTCTCTCTGTCTTTCTCTCTCTCTTCCACTATTCCTAAAAATCAATGGAAAAATATCATCAGGTGAGGATTAACAACAAAAATAAATAAAATTAAATTAGACTGTGAAAGTCAACACATCTGGGTTATTTCAACAGATGGTCATTTTATTGGAGCTGATTTGGCTCAGTGGATAGAGCATTGGCCTGCAGACTGAAGGGTCCTGGGTTCGGTTCCGATTAAGGGCACATGCCCGGGTTGCGGGCTTGATCCCCAGTGGGGGGGGGGGGGGGGTTGTGTGCAGGAGGCAGCCAATCAATGATTCCCTCTCATCATTGATATTTCTATCTCTCTCTCACTCCCTTCCTCTCTGAAATCAATAAAAATATATTTTAAAAAAAAAAGATGGTCATTTTTCTAGGAACAATGATACATCATTCCAAAGGCTGCTAAAGGTAAGATTACATGAGAGTACTGCCTTGAGCAACAATTTTGAAAATGGTATCTGACAGGAATCTGACATATATTAGTTAGGACATTTTTGGATTGAAGAAAGTATATGGTAGCATTTTCCCCCCTTAAAAATGTTTGTGTAAAGACCATAAGCTACAAGTTGCTACTAATCCTACAGTTAATGAAAAGTAAACCTAACATTTCTAATCTAGCGAGTGATTCACTTTCTGTACTGAAATAACTGTAGAAGTTTAATATGCCATAAATTAGTTATGTCTCGGGCAAGTCACAAATCCTCTCTTTACTTTTCCCACAAGAATGCTGGACTGAATCATTTCTAACATCCCTTCCAATACAAATTCTGGGATCTTTTATTAGCCCTGGCTGGTATGGCTCAGTTGGTTGGGTGTCATCCTGTGCATTGAAAGGTCCCTGGTTTGATTTCCAGTCAGGCACATGCCCAGGTTTCAGGCTAGGTCCCCAGTTGGGGGCAGAGGGAAGGGGAAGGGCGTGCTGGAGGCAGCTAATCAATGTTTTGCTCTCACATCATCAACATTTTCCTTTCTCTCTCTCTAAAAGTGAATACAAAAATCTTTAAAAAAATTAAAATATTATTAATGATCTACTAAATGCTTAATTCTGCTATAATTATGTTATTTGCTTTTTAAAAAATATTTTTACTGATTTCAGAGAGAGGAAGGGAGAGGAAGAGAGGGATAGAAATATCAATGATGAGAGAAAATCATTGATTGGCTGCCTTCTGCACTCCCCACACTGGGGATTGAGCCTGCAATCTGGGCATATGCCCAGACCAGGAATCGGACCATGACCTCCTGGTTCATGGGTTAATGCTAAACCAGTGACCACATGGGTTACGCTATTATTTGCTTTTAAATCAAATACATATTATAATCTATTGTTAAACCTTTCAAGAAGACCAGCATAACCCCCTGTTGTTTTTTGTAAACTGTGAAATATAATTTCTATGTATTCTAGAGCTCCAGAAAATATAAAAACATAAATTTAGGGCTGTATAAGCTTTTGGTGTTTTAAAATAGAAATCTGAAAGTTGTGCTAATCATTAGAGGCCACTGAAGTTTGATGAATATAAGTGCAATGAAATATCTACTGATGGCTACAAATTTAACTAATAATCTATGAATAGTCTGATTTGATAACCAGAAAATTCTAGCTTTGCTCAAAACACAAAGTGCAAACAAAGTTAATATACACAAACATGATAACTATGGTCAAAGTATTATATTAATAGGCTAAATAAGATTCTGAAAAGATAGTTATTGAATCAAGAACTGAGGCATTTCAAAAATATATGAAGATAACCATTAAAAACAAACAAACAAACAAAAAACGAACAAACAAAAAAAATATATGAAGAACATTGCAAAGTTCCCACTTCTTAGTCTCAGGGAGCAAGGCTCCCACTTTTGAAATTTCTCCACTTAATGAAATGAGTAGCAATTAAAGGAAAGCATTATATTAACATGAATTAAAGCTAAGAACCCCATTTTAAAAAAAGGTTTACTGCACTGAATTAAAATTTACACTGAAAAAAACTAAGTAAAATGTGCTACTAAGTTAGAGAAAACACAATGTAAAGGCGATTTAAAAAAATGAAACATAAATATATTAGATTAAAAATAATGGCTTCCATTGAAAATTTGTGAATTTTATGATATCTAGTTTTTAAAGTTAACTTCTAAACTCAGTGTTGGGGACTTATATAACAATTTTGGAAAAAGTAAGACCCATCTATTTCACAGCATGAGATACTTGTTTTAAATGCCACAAATGTTACCTGTTAGTTTTATTTGGGTTATAATCATAGGAGTCCTTAATTGCATTAATCATTCTCTTTGAATTAATCCTCCAAAGTTTAAGAGAGTGATCCATACCACAGGACATTATTTTTTCACCCAAAAGATCATAATCCTGTATGTAAAACAAAAAAGCTTAAGTTAAACATTTAAATTATTTTTCCAAACTATACTATTCAGTTTTCACCTATGTACAGTATTGTGAAAAATTTCAAACCACAACACTAACATTTTGGGTTTCATCTATTTAGAAAATAAAACAGAGTTTTTATTGCTCTCAAAATTTAGTTTTAAGTGATTTGTCACCACCACAGTAGATGAGCTTGTAAGCTAAGGAAAGAAAAAAATAGTGTTTAAATTTCATTTATCTTTCAATGAACTTTAAAATATTTTCTTTGCTTGATTTTGAAGATAAACTGAATGCCGAGCCCTAGCCAGTTTACTCACTGGTTAGAGCATCAGCCCTCAGACCTAAGAGTCTTGGGTTCTTTCCCGGTCAAGGGCATGAGCCTCGGTTGCAGGCTTGATCCCCGGCCAGTAGGTCGGGGTGGGTGTTGTAGGCATCCAATCAATGTCTCTTTCTTACATTGATGTTTTTCTCTCCCCACCCTCTCCCTCCCTTCCCTCCACTCTAAGGGGGAAAAAATCACTGGGAAAAATATCCTATAGTGAGGATTAAAAAAAATTTAAATGCTGAGGTATGACATAAAGCCTGAATAGTTATATTACTTTTCTTTGTCCAACCCTAATCAAGCAATGAAACTGACACCTGTATGTGCAGCTACTAAACAACTAAAATTTTATCTGTTGTAAGTCAAAATCTTCAGTTACACTGGTCTTAAGAGTTCACTTTTTAAATGAATTTTTAAAAATGTCTAAAAAAGGGAAATAATGTAAGTTTATCATTTGCTGTTCACTAATTTTTAATAGGCATCTAACAAATATCTATTATAACCACCTTATTTCATGGATAAGACACTGTGGTACATGGGTGCTATTTAATTTAGCACATGATACATGCGTCATATATTAATTCTTCTAACAGTGAACTCCTGTATTATAGAGAAGAAATAAGACTGTCACCTGTTCTCATTTTAAGAAATAACAGTAGATGGTGATGGACCAACAATACAATATACAGATGATGTATTATAGAATTGTACAACTCAAACCTATAAAATTTTATTAACCAAGGTCAGCCCAATAAATTCTATTTTAAAAATAAAGAAAAATACTCCCATTAAAAATAAAAGGAAATAAGAGTAGGGAGTTCTATTTAAGGAAAATATTTTCCTTACTCACCTAGACAGTATATGTTAATCCAACCTCTGAATTAATTGTGAACACCGTTTCACAAGAGCTTAGGAACTTTAGGTTTGTTGCTTACTGAATTCACCAGTCTGGTGAAGAGCAGCAAGGCACTCACTGACTCACTGTTCGTGCCAGTAACTCTAATTTGAAATTCTTAATAAAGAATGGTAGTCTTTAAAAGCCAAATGGAGACTGCTACTGCAACTACTAGAAAATCCAAGTTGGCAGGGCATAATTCTCACAAAAGCACACAAACTCCAACCATAGGAACACTTAGTACCTCCAATTAAAATGCTACATGATTTAAAACGTGGTGCCCCTGCCCTAGCTGGTTTGGCCCAGTGGATAGAGTGTCAGCCTGAGGACTGAAGGGTCCTGGGTTTGATTCCGGTCAAGGGCATATGCCTGGGTTATGGGCTCAATCCCCAGTGGGGTGTGCAGGAGGCAGCCAATCAATGATTCTCTCTCATCATTGATGTTTCTATCTCTCTCCCTTTCCCTCTCTAAAATCAATACAAATATATTTTTTATAAAAACAAACATGGTGCCCCTTTACATAATTTAATGAATAAGAACTGAATAGCTGTAAAACTACTAAGTAACCTATGAATGAAACATAAGTAAAGCTAAAATAATGTAAAAATATGAAACCTAAAACACTTATATTATAAAAGATCAATAAATCTCTCTATATAAAAGCCTAAGCGACCGGCCGACCGGCCCAGTAGCTATGACATGCACTGACCACCAGGGAGCAGACGCTCAACACAGGAGCAGAAACCACAGGCATGTAAACATGGAACAGACTGATAAATATCAGAGAGAAAGGGGGAAGGAAGAGGGCAGGAAGGGATTAACCAAAGATCTTATATGCATACTAGAGGCCCAGTGCACAGATCCGTGCACAGGTGGGGTACCTCAGACTGGTCTGTGCCCTCTCGCAATCCGGGACCCCTTGGGGGATGTCGGAGAGCTGGTTTCAGCCCGATCCCTGCAGGCCAGGCCAAGGGACCCCACCAGTGCACAAATCTGTGCACTGGGCCTCTAGTTATAACATAAAGATAACACTGTGCCATGAGAGAGAAAGCTATACAAAATTCAGCCTGTGCACAAAACACTCCTAAAAATGAATAATTTAGATTTCAACTGCAAATAAAACAAAGTTTCTTAATTGCTAACTAGTTATTTTTGTGTGTTTTTTAAGAGACATGGTCTCACTATGTTGCCCAGGCTGGAGTGCAGTGACTATTCACAGGTGCGATCCCACTACTGATCAGCATGGGAGCTTTGATCTGCTCCATTTCCAACCTGGGACCATTTACCCCTCCTTAGGCAACCTGGGGGTCCCCAGCTCCCAGGAGGTCACCATATTGATGCCAAACTTACTGTTGTCAGCTGATCGGCATAGTGCACTACAGCCCAGAACTCCTGGGCTCAAGCAATCCTCCTTCCTCAGCTGGGACTACAGGCATGCAGCTCCGTGCCCAGCAATTGCTAACTAGTTTAATCTTTTCCTTTAATAACTGAGAAACAGCAAAACAAAACATAACTTGGTGATTTTTTTGATCAATATAGGAAAAAAAACAAGTTCATAGTTAGTATTCTTTCATGTGCATGAGTACAGATTAAATACAAAGAGACTTTCTTGCTTTATTCCTTCATTTATAAGATAAAAACCTTGCATAGCACAAGTAAATGAAATGACTGCCTGCCAGGCTATATGAAAAACAACAACATATGATTCCATGAAAGGAAAGAGTTCGATGGGGACTGTTCACAACAACGTGCACCTGAAAGTCATTGCCCTGCAACTTTCAACTTACAGCACTTAGAACTTCATCTCTGTGCCCTTCGACACCTCCAAATATTGCCACCAGAGTGTCCGTTTGGATATTCCATAATCGTAAAGCATGATCTAGTATAGAAATAAAAAATTAAGATGAATTTTTATCATTCATTTATTGTGAATGTTCAAAACCTCTTTAGGTAAAACTTACACAAGTGTGGACTTAACTTATGCATAGTAAAGACTAATAATGAAACCCATATCACTTAAAACATTTACATCACATATAGATTTAGGTATGTATCAGCACAAACTTTCAAGAAATACTTGTAGTTTTAAAAATATTTTTAACTTATTTACCGAATTTGACAGAGTTTTACATTATGCCATAGAACAAAATATTAGCTCTGTCCTCCACCATACCCATTTATACATTAAAGAGGACAGAGTAGCTGATTTTGTTCAATGGTTAGAGCATTGGCCCTCAGACTGAAGGGTCAAGGGTACGTACCTTGGTTGCAGATTCCCCAGCTCTGGTAGGAGCCAGTGCGGGAGGCAGCCAATCCATGTCTCTCTCTCATGCCGATGCCCCTCCATCTCTCCCCCCCTTCTCCCTCCATTGCATTCTCTCTAGAAATCAATGGAAAAAATATCCTCAGGTGAGGATAAAAATAAATAAATATATACACACACACACATGTATATATATATATATATAATATACATATACATACATATATATATATATATATATAATTCAAAAAGAGTAAGAAAAGATGACTGAGTAGAATTATTTTTGGAGTATTTTTATTAATTTAAGAGAGAGAGGAAGGGAGAGGAAAAGGGAGTGAGAGAGAAAAACTGATCAGTTGCCTCCTGCATGTGCCCCAACTGGGGAATTGAACCTGAAACCTGGGCATATACCCTAACCGGGAACTGACCCTTTTGTGCATGAGACAATGCTCAACCAACTGTGCCACACTGGCCAGGACAGGACTGCGTAGATTTATAAAATTTCTACAGTAAATCTAATAATAGTATTGAAATCTACATACAGTATATATCATGACAATTTTATAGTATTACAAACCTTTAAGACCTCAAAGGGCTGATGACATGTTAGTTGGCATTCCATTTCTTGTAAATCTAAATAAAGCCTACTGAGCCTGACTGGTGTGGCTCAGAGGTTGAGCACTGACTATGAACCAGGAGGTCAGATGCCTGGGTTTTGGGCTTGATCCCCAGTAGGGGGTGTGCAGGAGGCAGCCGATCAATGATTCTCTCTCTCTTTTTTTAAGTCCTCACCCAAGGATATTTTTTCCACTGATTTTTAGGGAAAGTGCAAGAGAGAGGGAAAAGAGAGAGAAACATCGATTTGAGAGAAACACATCAGTCGGTTGCCTTCTGCAGGAGCCCCAACCAGACCCCAGGGAAGAGCCTGCAACCAAGGTATGTGCCCTTAACCAGAACTGAACCCAGGATCCTTTGGTCCACAGGCCAACACTCTATCCACTGAGCCAAACTGGTGAGGGCTGATTCTCTCGCATTGTTGATGTTTCTATCTCCCTCTCCCTTCCTCTCTATGTCAATCAAAATATATTATAAATAAATAAATAAATAAATAAATAAAAGCATACTGATGGAGAAAAAAATAAAAATTATAACTAATTCAAGCAATCTCATTTTCTACTAAATATTAACAAAATAATGTACAGCAATAATATAAATGCCATGTGAAGCTTGAACTAACAATGTTCATACTATACATGAATATTAACATACTACACTAATGACAATGTATTTATACTAATTGTAATGTACATATTAGACTAATACATTATGTTAATACATAGTTGAATAAAACACTGCCATAAAAATGATTCAATTCCAACTATGTACAAATTTTTATGTGGACATTTCATTCATCTTGAAAATACACACACACACACACACACACACACACACACACACATCCAGGAATGGTAAGTCTATGTTTAACTATAAGGAACTGCCAAACTGTTTTTTGATGTGGCCACATTTTACATTCCCACCAGCTATAGGGGTGAAGAAGGGTATCTCCACATTGGCCAACATGTTACTGTAACTTTGGTTGGTGCCATCCTAGCAAGTGTAAAGTGGTAGCTCCTAGTGTTTTTAATTAGTATTCCCCTAATTATTAATGATATTGAGTGCCTTTTCATGTGCCCACCAGACATTTGTGCATGTTCTTTGGAAAGATGTCATTCAACCCACTTTTTAATTTGGATATTTTATTACTGTTGAACTATAAGAGCTCTTGATACAAGTCCCTTATTAGATATATGATTTAGAAATACTTTCTCCTATTCTGTAGGTTGTCTTTTCACTTTCTTAATGATATTGTGTGCAGCAAAATTCTTATTAATTTGAAAAGCTGTTTGATTAAAAAAAAACAAAAAACTCTTACTGACACAATGGGAAGAAAGAGCAGAGTTAAAAAAGTTGTAATATGTAGAACAAGTAAGGCTTTCTGGCCTCTGTCACTTGGAAAGTAATACCTGAGCCCAACTACTACTGCTATCAAGAAAAAGTCATCAGTTCTTAGGTGTCAATTTCCCAAAATATACATTTTCTTTTTTTAAAAAAATATATTTTTATTGATTTCAGAGAGGAAGAAAGAGAGATAGAAACATCAATGAGAGAAAGTAATTGTCTGCCTCCTACATGCTTCACACTGGGGACTGAGCCCAAGACGGGCATGTGCCCTGAGCAGGAATCGAACCTTGACCTCTTCTGGTTCATAGGTCAACACTCAATCACTGACCCACACCGGCTGGGCAATAGGGAATGCTTTATAAAACAAAAGTTTTTATATATAAAGGCAACATGGATTTTCAGATGCATTATTGCTTATTACATGACTGGATAGAGTGATAGTTGCAAAACTAGCTTACAAATTCTTAAAAATATAATTTTTGAGAAAGATAAATATCATGTGATCTCATTCATTTGTGGAATATAATGAACAACATAAACTGATGAATAAAAATAGATCCAGAATATAGAAGCATTGAACAGACCATCCAACTTCAAAGGGAAGGCGGGGGGAGGGGGGTAAGAGATCAACCAAAGGACTTGTATGCATGTATATAAGCATAACCCATGGACACAGACAGTAGGGGCATGTGCTGAGGGGTGGGAGTGGCCGGGGAGAGGTCAATGCGGGAAAAAGGAGACATATGTAATACTTCAAACAATAAAGAATTGAAATTAAAAAAAAGAATTGGTGATCTGCCACTTAAAATTAATGAAGACGGCCCAGACAGTTTGGCTCAGTGGATAGAACATTGACCTGCGGACTGAAGGGTCCCAGGTTCGATTTTGGTCAAGGGCACATGCCCAGGTTGCAGGCTCAATCCCCAGTGGGGAGCATGCAGGAGGCAGCCAATCAATGATTCTCTCTCATCATTGATGTTTCTATCTCTCTCTCTCTCCCTCTTCCTTCCTCTCTGAAATTAATAAAAATATTTTAAAAAAATGATGATGAACATAATTCAATTGAAAAAAATTTCATTTGAGGATAAAGTTCTAGTATTATCATAATGCAATATGGTAAATAAGGGTAACATAACTAATCCTCAGTACCAATTATGCTTCTCTCTTAAAAAACAATCATTTCTACCCTGGCCAGTGTGGCTCAGTTGGTTGGAGCATTGTGCCGTGCACCGAAGGATCTCAGGTTCAATTCCCAGTCAGGGCACATATCCAGATTTCGGAGTATGTGGGTTCAGGGAGAGTTCAGAAGGCAACCAATCTGTTTTCTCTCTCACACTGATGTTTCTCTCTCTCTCTCTCCTCTCTCTCTCCTCTCTCTCTCTCTCTCTCTCTCTCTCTCCTCTCTCTTCTTTCTCCCTCCCTCCCTTTCTCCCTCCCTCCCTCCCTCTTCCTTCTCTCTCTCTGAAATCAATGGGAGGAACATATCCTCCGATTTAAAAAAAACAGTAAAAAATAATTTCCTTCTCTTACCTTTACTGACTGACAGGAGAAGATTTGGGTCTCTTGGGTGGAATTTCAGCTCATTGATAGCATTTCCATGCCCAACATAGTGCTACAATAAATTTAAAACATATCAACTTTCATATACAATAACAAATTCTATTGTAAAATATTTAATCTGTGAATTAATGTTTGCTAAGAAAAATAAATTATTTTTTATTAATTTTAAGAGAATGAAAAACTCATTTTGCTTAAAGTAGTGGTTTTCAACATTGGCTGCATATTAAAACCATCCAACAAAGAAAAAAAATGCATAAAAAAATAAAATAATATCACCCAACAAATTTGAAGGGAAAAAAAATAAAAGATGCTCAAGTCCCACCTGCTGATAATCTGATTTGACTGGAATAGCAGAGGCAAGGCAAAGATGGAAAAGATCCTCATGTGGTTCTATTGTGCTCTCAGGGTTTAAAACTTCTAATTAAATTGATTTGTAAAACTTAATATCAACTTTCAAGGCTTCAAAACCCTAGTTAGGGTATGTGAGAATGGACTCACTCTTTTGTTATTCTTCATTCAGAGTCTCTCAGATTAAGGCGAGGTAGAAAAAAAGAAAATATTGTAAATAATAAAATTTTCCCACTCATTACTTAATTTGCATTACCCAATTGTAACAAAGGTATCAAAAGACTTGTCTAAAGGATGAAGTAAGCACAGTACAGATCAAATTAGAAATTGTAGACACTGATTCCTTTAGTTTTAAATTTAACCTGACAAATTTTCACAGGTGTTCATTCAAAAGAAAGCAAATCTACAATTTAACAAGAATGCCCACCTTAATGCACTGCATTGTTATGGGATTAATTATCCTGATTATGCCTCTAGATCCAGCCACAGCCAGCAGAGGATGGCTTGTATTGCTATCGTATGTCCATGCACAAGTGTAAAAGTTTTCATCAGCCTACAAATGCCGGTTAAGAAATGTAATTTGTTTTTGAAAAGTAAATATGTACATAAACGATTATAATACGTGGAAACCTCCAAAGACCTGCTAAAGTTTTTGACACAGAAGTTCTTATTATTCTATCACCAGATTTAAACAATGGAAATTTTTAGGTCTAAAACTTATACAAAATGATAGAACAAAACCAGTCCTTCCACTACATTTTGATTAACTATTTAGCTATTTGTATAACTCAACTTTGTGTTTGAAAGCAGCCAGACAACATGTAAAGGATGTGTATGGCTGTGTCCAAATACAACTTTATTTATAAAACAGGTGGGTGGACCATTACCTAATAAAAAAAGCAAAAGCAAACAGATGGCCAGCCCCGAGGGCTGTACTTTGCAGACTCTTGCTCTATCCCAATAGTTCTCTGTGCCTCTAAAGATGACTTACTATTCATTTTTCCCCTTTTTCCTGTGTGAGACCTTTCCAGTATGGCTACAAGTCACTTCTTTCCATATCATCTAGGGAAAACTGAAAAGTCCTCGTCTTTTTTTGTTTGCTAAGTTTTTCAAATGGATCTAGAAGAAAAATCTTATCAACAAGCTTTTCTATCTATACCTTTGGGTTTTTAAGTCTTTATCTTTATGAACCCATGTTTTGCAATATTTTACTTCCTAAACAAACTAGCTATGTGTTTTTCCTTGTGGGCTTTATTGATCAAATACTTAGCATGATTTCCAGTCCTAGCTTCTGATCAACTCAAGTTCATCAATATAACTACTTTGAAATGATAAAATTCTAGGCAAGGTAAAAAACAAAACAAAAAACAGGAGGTTTTAACTATTCTAATTTTCTATTACTGGATTTCCAATAAACATCTCCAGTCACCTGCACCATTCTCTCTCATATCCATCCTACAATGGATTTCTAGGGACCAGGAAAACTAGATACCAGAAATCTCTTGGGTGATAGTGAAGGAATAGCATTGGTTAAGGTAAGAAAGAACAATCTAACTTTGGGGGACTAATTAATTTAGAAAAGTTTCAGTGTACTTATGAAAGTCGATTTCTTTAGCCAAAGATATTAAAAACTCAGGAAAGGATACATCAGCATCCACATAGGATTGCAATAGCCGGATTTCTCCTTGTGAGTGACATTCATATAAAGTAACCTAAGGAAAACAAAATACAGTAAATTTTACCTCAAATACAGAAACACATGCTTTTAGCTTTTAAACATATTTTAGTCACAACTGTGTTTTTAAAATATTACAGAAACTACTGCTTTAAAATAGCTCCTTTAATTTGAGAAAGCCATTATAATATTTATGGCATTACATAATTTCCAGAATATATTAAATACTGCAATACTAACTTGCTTATCAAGTTAATTTTGAGGAGAATTGGTGCAAAACTACTAGGCAGTCTAGCTGGCTCAGGTCCAATCATCCCATTAGTAAATT